TGTCCTATTCTCATACTATTTATATCCTATTTGTACTATTTGCACTAAAATAGTTGTAAAAGACAGAATAGTCATTTTAGTAGGTTCATTTACTATCCACACTATTTTTTGTACTATCTTTTGACTATCTCTCAACTATCTATGCTATTTTCTCCACTATTTCTACTATCCAACTTCTCACGAACAATAACTTCATTAATCAGGGAGGCTGGAAAACAGTAGATTATACCACAGCTGTCACAATGTGGGGAGAATGATGGATGAGATTGGAATGAAGACAGTGCAGGGAGCAGGGCAGAAGGATCCATATGCTTCATCAAGTGGGGAGACTGAAATGACCACATGAGACCTTTGTAACTGAGGCAACCAAGAACATCCTTTTGGAAGTTGTACTGAAAAGGAGAACATGCTGACCAAGCTGCATGGGATAGGACAGGGCTGATGATGATGGAATGAACCAGGGGGCTTCAGGACAGAAGCTGGTGGGAACACCTGCCAGATATACATAGCCACTGTCTCTGGCAATCAAGACAAGTGAGATGATTGACAAAGATATGGCTATATCTGATGGACTTAGTGAAACAATTGTCTGATGGATGGAGTACTGTAGAAATGCATAGGGTGTGAGGATCCTTTCCAAACTCAGAAGGCAGGATGGTGTGGCTGAGCACTTCAACCAAGCATGGGAATGGAGTCAACATCTTCAGAAATGGTGGAGATATGATGAAAACTGGAATGCTATACATGGGCACTAAAAACTTTTGATGGGTGCTTAACTCACTTCCTCTTTTCTCTCTAGCACTGATGACTCATTCTTGTGCAAAGGATGACTGCTAACATCCAGCAGTCCTTCTACACCCAAGGGATTTAATCTTCATCTGCATGGCATGGCATGCAACTCATTGATGAGTTAGGCAGAGTCAACTGTGACCATGTCCACAACACCTTTGGTGTGTGACACCAGTCAGTTTCCCATGGTCCTGGCCTTGACACCAGACCTCTGGACTTGGCCCCTGACTTCTGGCCTTGACTCTGGTCAACTGGACTAAGCCCCTGTCACCCAGACTTGAAGCCCAGTCACCCAAGGGTAAACCAATACCTGACAGCAACCTTGAGGGCATCATATGTTAGTGCCCATGTGCCATCTCACATGCTTTTATACTACTATGGAGGTACAGTAACTGGAATTAGAACTGACATGCAGAGCCTTGTAAATTTTTGAGTAAAACTTTCCTGGATGACAGATGAAGTGCAGATGGAGAACATATGATGGGTAACACAGAACAAACCAAAAAGGAAACAGTCCAGGTGCCAAACCATGAGGTGTGTGTGCTGTGGAGTACCTGCCTGTGCAAAGTCAAGGAGAAGTCCAAAGGGTGGACAGGTAAGAGTCACATGACCTCTTGGGGAATGGTCTGCATGGTCTGATGATAGACTGGCACAAGTCCAATAGAAGGCAGAGGAGAGGAGACTCATAAATAGTAGAGTGTGGGCAGAGTTGGTGCAGGGTGAGTGAATGACCAGCAGAGTAGGGTGCAGAGCAAGTAGGGACTTAGGATAAGCACACAGTCATGACAACCATGCAGTGAACTGTTGTGAGAGATCAAAGTGCAACATGCAAGGGCAATGGCCATGACTTTGCCTTGGGTGTGCACAAGGGTGGTGAAGAGGTCCCCAACAACAAACTCATCACCTTGAAGTAAATTCCCAGACTGCATCCCACTGTTTCTCTTGTTGACAGGAGAAAATCCATGCACACAGAGGAGATGGTCATGAGATTTTGTGGTAAAATTTGGTGATATGATGACACAGCAGATTGCAGACTTGTGAGCCCATTTCTTCTCACACCAAAGATAATCATTTGGGCAAATCCCAGGTCCTTTGGACAGATGGTTGGGGGAGGGCATGTCATTGTTATTCTGGTCAACACTCTTGCCAAATGCATCTCCACCCAAATGATCTCAAGGGAATTGTGTCACTTTCACACACAAAAGGTGTTGTGGACATGGTTACAGCTGACTCTGCCCAATTCATCAATGAGTTGTGCATGGTGCCATGAATGCAGATGAAGACTAAAGCCCCCATGCATAGAAGGACTTCTGGACATTAGCAGTCATCCTTTGCACAAGGATGAGTCATCAGTGCTAAAGAGAAAAGAGGAAGTGAGTTAAGTGCACATTAAAGGTTTTTAGTGCCCAAGTATGGCATTCCAGTTTTCATCATATCTCCACCATATCCAAAGATATCAACACCACTCTCACACTTGCTTGAAGTGCTCAGCCATGCCATCCTGCCTTCCAGTTTTGGAAAGGATCCTTGCACCCTACACATTTCTACAGCACTCCATCCATCAGACACTCATTTTGCCAAGTCCATCAGATACAGCTGCCTCTTTGTGGATCATCCCACTTGTCTCCTTTGCCAGAGACAGTGGCTACATATATCTGCCAGGCATTCCCACCAGCTTCCATCCTGAAGCCCCCTGGTTCATCCCATCATTCTCAGCCCCATCTCATCCCATGCAGCTTGGTCAGTGTGCTCTCCTTGTCAGTATGACTTCCAGAAGGACATTCTTTGGTTGCCTCAGGTCTGTCACACAGTTACAAAGGTCTTATGTGGTCATTTCAGTCTCCCCACTTGATGAAGTATATGGATCCTTCCTCCCTGCTCCCTGCAACATCTTTATTCCAATCTTGTCCATCATTCTCCCCACATTGCAACAGCTGCAGTATAATCTACTGTTCTCCAGCCTCCCTGATTCCATCCATGATGGGTATGACATCCATCTTGCCTTCTTACCACAAGACCCTGCAGAAGGCATCCCCCCTTCTCCCTCTCCTCCATCAGAGCCCCATTCATGAAGCTTTTATTAACTTTGCTGAGAGGATGAATGGGTGGGAGACACAATTGCCTATGCTCCCATTACCCCACAGACCCAACAACACACCTGACTCATGCCATCCATTTCTGGATTTAAGACTTCCCCATCTGGAAACACTGTCCATCTGTCATCCCATCTTTTGATCTAGGGAAGTCTCTGCTGAGAACTGATGTGCATTGCCACCCCCTAATGTGATATCAGTGCACTTACTCAGATCCTGATGTTCTTTGACTCATACTGTGATATTTTGACTGTCCTTGACTTGTTCATTGCCAATACTTACCAATCCTCTTTGCATGCTTACTTTTCATTTCTCACTTACTCATCATGATTACTCATTGTTTACAGTCCTTACTCATTACTTACCAAGCATTTGTGCCTCATTTGTCATAGGCTGCACTCCTCCCACAGTATATAAACCCCCCTGTACTTAGCTACAACCTAAGCAATCCAGTCAGTTCAGATCATCTCAGACATATTGTCAACAGTTGAGGCTGCCCAAATGGGTCTATCTGTCATTGATCATCATCCTTGGTAGTTGAGGCTCCTTGAGGGGGTCTATCTGCCTTCATCAGTTCTATCTACACTTAGTCAGCATCTCTTGCTTAGTCATCCTCTTGCTCATCAACATCTGCTGCCAGGAGTCCTTTCTGCTGAATACCTTTCCTCTATTCAGCATCCTTTACCTTCTCATCACTCACCCATCCACTCCTGCATCATTCATCATCCACTTGCACCAGGAGCCCATTACATTGAAGTTCCTTACTCCAGTCAGCTCCCCCTTCACAGTCTTCATTCATTTACCCACTTCTGCAAGATTATTCTGCCCTCCAGGTACCACAGAGGCACACCACCACTTGCTCTTTTATTTGTCTTTGATGTTGGTTTTTGGTTGGTTTACAACACCTTTCCACACTTTGACTCACATTGCCTCTGAAGCCATGCTGTTGGGAAATCACAATGACCTGCAATAATATCACCAACCCAGTGATGGCATGTGATGTGATCAAATCTTTCTTTGTGCAAGAGGTTGAGATGACAATGGCCATGAGACAAGTCTGGATTGTGAGAATATATCCCACCAATGTCTTGAGCTGCACTGAGGTGATCTAAAACTTGTCAATAGTTGAGGCCACTGTTATGGTCACCAGTATGAAGGAAAGCAAACAGTAACTCAAGGTGATTATCACCTGATCAAGAAGACTGAACTGCTCAAATGGATTCAGCTTCTGCTGTTTTGCAATATTGATCACTACTGCCTTGACCATTGTTTGCAGGTCATAATAGAGGTAATGTGGCATCAGATGGCAGCACTGGTCACAATAGCTTGCATATGGGAGATGGGCAACACAACAGCTGAGGTGGATGACCTGTTCAGAGAGTGAGAGCTGAATGGAATGTTGATATAGGGGTCAATCAGGCACTGGAGAAGTTGGCTCAGAAAGTGGAGGGCATCCACATCAGTGGTGGTGTTGATGTTGAGGTCATGAGGCTGAGTCATATTACCAAGTTTGATGAGAGCTGTCATGAGTTCAATCACATGAGGAATATTTTTCTGATTGATGCCCAAAATGTACTATCACTTACTACACAATTTGCCTCCTCATTAGTTGGCCAGTTTTTCAAAATGATGGCTTCTTCCCTAACAACACATTTTCTGTTGGGTCACATGTCATGAAATATGCATCCTTAGGTACTACAAAGTTGAATGACATCAATCCACTGAGTATTTGTTGAGGTAGCAAAAACAGCATGACCAGCAGAGGAATCACACCTGTGATGGCCAGACCTGAAACTTTGCAGTGTGATGATGTGTTACTGTCTGTGACATTTGTGACAGCCAACTAGTGGGAGGCAAACTGTGTGGTAGGCAATAGTAGTATCTAGGAGCATGTTTATGCTGATAATGCTTCACTTTTGTTATGACTTAAAGCTGCAATTATACTGTTCTAATGTGCTATACAGACTTAAAAGTTTGGTGCTGCAAACTTGGCCACTGTGGCTGAAATATGGACCCCAGACACTGATTGGGGGAGGACAGAGATGACTTAGTGTTTCGGCATTTGCCGATCGCCCGCCTCTTGGGCATAGGCGCCAGATATGAGCCACCCTATTTAAATGGAGCTCTCTCGGCGGCCTCTCTGGAGTCCCTCGTCGAATCTCTATCTATCTACACGACACGATCGTATATCTCAGCTCGCTTTCCGTTTCATTTCTGGATTCAAACAATAGTCTGTCGTTCAGTTTCTTTATGATTATCCTCATACTAACCATTTGTATCTCGTTTTCCGTCTCTTCGTTCAGTGCTTTCTGACGAAGGGTTCGAAAAATACAACAAATCCCCAAGGTTCCACGAAGCTCAGAGATCTGTGGATGATGGTCTCTCCCCGACCATCTCCTCTCAGGGCCTGGCCGACGCCACCGCGTCCCGCGCTATTTCCTTCACTCCTGATCCACACACTGTCCCTCTTGCGGAAGCCCTGTCGTACTATTCAGGTTTGCCTTCTGAGCCAACGCTGCTATACCGAACGGGCAAGGAGCAGTGGTCTTCGCCCAAGGGGCCAGAGGCCCAGCGCCGAACGAAGGAGTTATACGAAATCTTCGATCATCCCATCGCCCAGTGCTGGAACAAGGACTTGGGGTGGAAGGTTGTCGCCATCATGGACGATCACAGTGCCAGTCATGATATCCTATCATATCATAGAATTTGCTAACTTGGACCTCTAGATCCGCTTTACAACCATAGATGTCGTTCGTTTCAAGAAGATCGAGGTCGACGAACCGAATGACGACGAGGAAGACGACGAGGGTGAAGACGATAACGAGGACGAAGAGCCGACCAAGACCAAGAAACGGAACGTCGGTCCTGTGACTATCTGGATTGGTGTTTTCCCCGACACTACCACCCCTACGGCTGCCTGCAACGCGGCTCAGGAAGTCCTAGCCCTTCTCAATCACTACCGTATCACCGATGTCGACGTCGACTTTCGCGAATCTTTCTACACGCGCGAGGCTGGTCCTCAGCTTCTCAAACCAGTCGAGGATCTGCACCCACTCGTCGACGTCATTAGCCCCCTTACTCCAGCCCTCGGTCTCGGCATCTCCACCAAGGCCTGGCCCGAGATTCAGGGGACGATGGCCCTCTACCTCGCAGAAGGTGGAATCAGAAACAGATTCCTGGGGCTTTCGTGCCGCCATGTTCTGATTGGGCAGCAGGAAGGCAACGCCGACTACAGGTACAACCGCAGTGCACCTTCCAAGGACGTCCTCCTGCTCGGTGATAGAGCATATGAGGATCTGTTAGATTCGATCAAAGTTGAGATTGAAAGACAAAGAATTTTAATCAATCGCTGGACCAAACAGCTCGCCGGGTTCTTGGAGAGGGAGAGTGGCACAGACCAGGCCGACGTTCGGCGGGCGGCGGCATCACGGATTTTTACTCAGATGTTACTGGACAGGGCCAAGACCGCTAAGGAGGCGCTTCCAGCGTTGCTTGAACGAGTCAGTACTGATTGGAAAAATCTTGACGACCGTGTTCTTGGCCACGTCCTCCGCTCCCCTGCCATCGCTCTCGGTGTCGGGGAACATCGTTTTACGGAAGATTGGGGAATCTTCCAGGTCGACCGGGCTAAGCTTGGTGACGGTTTCCAGGGTAATAAGTTGGACCTCGGTGCGTTTTGACCATTCATCCGAACAAGACCGTCTACTAATCTACCTAAATATTTGTTTTGTTGATATCCAGGAACGAAGATGTCGCCCGACGAGTTTGTGGAGAAATGCTTCCCTCGCGGAGACGCTGACTGGAAATTCGAGTTTCCCCTTGATCGTCTGCTTCCGCTTAAGGGTACCATCACCGACGAATTGATGCGCGCTCCTGACATGTGGGACGCGGACGGCAAACCGTGCTTATTGGTCGTCAAAAACGGTAATGCCACTGGCATCACCATCGGCCGCGCCACCGGCGTCTTCTCCATCGTCCGCGAATACTCCACGGACATGACCAGCAACCAAACCTCGATGGAATGGGCAATCATCAACTACGATAGCAAGTCCGACGTCTTCTCGGAACCGGGCGACTCCGGCTCCATCATTGCCGACCTCCATGGTCGCATCGGGGGGTTACTCACGGGTGGTTCCGGCAAGACCAACTCCTCCGACATTACTTATGCCACGCCGTTCTGGTGGCTCCTCCAGCGCATTAAGGCGAACGGATTCCCTGACGCGCACCTCGACGTCCTCGCCTAGGGATCTTGTCATCAACAACGACCTCGACATCAAAGATCAGTTCTTTTTCTTCTGCGACTTCTATGCTTTCTTCTACGCTCCTGTATCTATTGGCTGGTCATTATTGCAGACGAGTGCTTGGACCGGCGGATTGCTGTTTAGGTTCGTCTTCATTTTCATTCTCCGTCCCGTCCTTTTGTACTTACAACTGACTTGGTACCTTCTCTAGGACTTGGACTATTGGACTCGTCCTTCAGGCATACTTTTCCCTTCACGCAACTTGACGGCCTTGACGTCCAGGTTCCATACGACTCGACGTGGTTCACTGGACTATCGGACAACACGCTCGCCACTTTTCGAGTGGGATCTGGTAGGCATATGCAGGTGTCGACGCGTTTTTACATAGCTTCTCGTTGTTTCGGACACTCGCGACTTCGTCGTGTACAGCATATCCCCCCTTCCAACTCACCTATGCCCATCGTTCGTCTATCTTCCCTCGTCTAGCCCCAGTTGTGTCGTCTACACCTTCCCCTTCATATATCGTCCCCCCTCACTCATCCTGTAAACGCCCCCTCCTATATGTTGAATGGACATTGTTGATTTTGTTGTTAAACTGCGCGTGATGAAATGAAGTTCGATATTGTGACTTCGAGGCGAAGTGTCTGTGCTGTCACCCAACGCCCCTTGTCTGATTGGGAAGGTCTTGTAGCCACCACTCCTATGTTCCTGCTTTCATCAACCTTGTAGTAGGCAAACCTTGCCTTTGACTTCACCTCATGGCTATATGATATTTGGGGATGTCTGGAGATTAATGTTGGCAAGTATCTCTCATACCTATGTACATTGCCTCTACATTTCATTCTATAATTTCTACCAGTTCAGATACTTACAACCCCAGTCATACATAGCCACTGCATTTGCATATTTTGCACACTAATTTAAACCTTCTGCTTTTGTACAACAAAAACAATGTGGCAATTTTGTGATGACCATCAGACTCAGGAAGTGCTGCCTGCATCAGCACTAACCTTGCTTGTGCCTCTTTCTTACCTGCCTCTTTCAATGACACAAACACACAATGACAGGAGATAAGTTTCATGTCCATCATCCCTTGTGCACAGTCAGTGTCCTGGTGGATGAGTACTAATGGCAGTGTGTAGTCTATGGTACACTCCCTACCAATAGTATCCATTGTCCATAGCATCCAATGAGTAGAGTAGTAATGTCCTTGTGAGTACTCTACCCTGAAGTCCATAGCAAGATGGCACACATGATTGGCATGATGTTGCAGTCTAGAGCTATGCCACTGAGTGCTCAGACTAGAGCCAAATTGCAACAGTTCTGGAAGATGGGCAAATATCTCATCTTGCATGAAATGTCAATGCTAGGAAAGACATTTCTCACACAACTGTCTTGGAACATTGATATAGGGAAAATGGTGGTTGGGCAATGTGCCAGTGATCATTTGTTTGGTGGCATTAGTGTTATCATGTGTGGAGATTTCCATCAATTCCCCCCCATTGCTGTAGGACCCACTGAGGCTCTCTATTTTCCTACAACAATGCAGTGTGACTGCACTCTCCCCAACTTTGGTTGTGCAATTTATGAAGAATTTCAAAAAGTAGTGGTTCATCAAGAGCAGATCCAGGTGACAGATGCCATCTGGCATGACTTTCTACAATGCTTGTGCTATGGCCAAGTCCAAGCACATCATATTGAGATGTTATGCTCTCTTGTACTCACTAACCCCAGATGTATGCCCACCAATTTCTCCTCTGCACCTTGGACTGATGCCTGTCTGGCTACACCCTGTCATGATGTTAAATGGCTCTGGGATGAGATTGCAGTTCTAAATCATGCACAGAAAAAACAGATATGTATTCATTAGTACTGTGACAGACACTATCAAAGGTCAATCATTGACATTGGTTGAATGCTTTGCTCTTGCCACATGAGGGATGGCAAGGGGTGATCATACATGACAATGGAGAAGTGAGTTACCAGACGATGTGGATATGTCAGTGGGCATGAAGGTGATGGTCACAAAAAATGTGCAAACTGACCTTGACATCACCAATGGAGCATGTGGCACCATTCACTTCAGTCAACCCCCTTTGGAGACCTATTAGGTCTACATATTTCTACAGATGTATATACCTATGAGGTCTCAACAGGTCAGGTATCCCCAGTCACTGGTGGGGAAAATATTTTCTCCAGCACTATGCTTGGGGATTCTCCACACCTGCCATTTTATAGAGGAGGGAGAAAAGGATTTTGCCATAATTGATATACATTATCCTGAATATGTCAGGGTGACTGGGGTCCAGATGGACCTTTCTCCAGCTGAAATTGGGCCTCAATGGGACATTCTCCATGCTAAAATGGACCCAAAAGAAGCTTTCCCCAGCTAAAATAGGGCCTCAGTAGGGGATTTTCCATGCCAAAAAGGATCCAAATGAAGCTTTCTCCAATTGAAATTGGACCTCAATGGGACATTCTCCATGCTAAAAAAGACCCAAATGAAGCCTTCTCCAGGTGAAATTGGACCTCAATGGGACATTCTCCATGCTAAAAAGGACCCAAATGAAGCCTTCTCCAGGTGAAATTGGACCTCAATGGGACACTCCATGCCAAGGACCACACATTGTTTTGGTTGGGGTACATGGTGCATTCAGTAGGTGAATCTGGCATAAAACCAAGTCATGAATGCTGCCCTGAAGGATCTCAGAACTCCCAAGGTGGAAAATGTTAAGTCCATGTCAATGATGTGTCTCAGCACCCCAGCTGTTGTTGATTGAGTGCAACTTCCTCAGTATCAATTCCTCCCCCAGTTTGTTGGGACCATTGGTTCTGACACAATGTACTCATGTTCACAACTGCACTGCTTTCAAGATGCTGGTGAGATGACACAACTGAATCTTTCCCCTGAATTGGTTGTGATTGTGCCAACATCTGCCAAGTGGGTGTTCCAACCATGGTGTGGAGATTTACCAAGTAAGCACCTAGATGCATAATTCCAACCACTTTACTAGGAGATCCTTCATGCCTATTTTTGGCATTTCCTGCCAATTCCTCAGGGATGTGCTTGTAATTTTTGCACTTTTCAGTAGTTCCATTAACATATTTACATTCCTGATGTGAATGTGATCACATATTACAGCCATTCAATGTACATCTCCAAACTCTAGTATCTACATCTTTTTGATGGTAATTGAATTGGTGAGGATGGCAAGTAGCCATTTTCAAGACCCTCCAACCACCCATCTTCTGTGAATTCCTCTTCATCTGTTTGTCCAATATCATACTCTTCTGATAGTGCCATCTCTCCAATGGCCTCCAATAGTTCATCACCTTCTGATGTCAAATTCTCCCACTCACAGTCATAGTCTTCTGGCTGTTGCTCAGCTGCATGGTGCATGGCAGGCACTCCACATGGCTTGTGAGGGGCTGAATGAAATGCTGCTACCTCTGCTGTGGGTCCCCATGGCCTTGATGGAGGCCAAGCATGTGGTATATGTCAAACCTTGGCTTCCCATTTAGTATATGTTTCCACCAGACTATCCTTTTGTGATCACACATGATACTTGTAAAATGCATCTAGAAAGTGACAAACTCAGAAACCATGTGATATCAATAATAACTCTACTCACCAACATTGTTCTGAGCAACCTCTACACTTTTCCACTCCACAGAAAACCACTCCTGTAAAATGGTCTGCTCTCTTGACAATCTTCTTTCTTCTTCATTGCAATGATCAACCTCCAACATAAGTCTTATTCCCTTGCACACACCCTCATCAGCAAGCCAACCAGGGGGATCAGGGTAACCCTCCTCAATTCCAACATCCTGCCAAATATCACTATCAACATACAGTTGAAAAATACCCTTAGATGGTATGGGAGGAGGAGCAATAGCACCAGGAGGTGCTTTCTGCAGCCAAATCATACCCTGCAATTCACCACAGAGATTATTATATGCTGTGACTAGCTTCAGTACAGTGGGTTCTCATCATTTGATGGATGACTCCACACATGATTGTAAATGATTTTCTATGGCTTGTTATTGGCAATAGAAACCAAAAACAAAACACCACTCACCATTGACAGAGCTCCTGTATGATTGTTCCAACCTCTCCAACTCAAACTTGTGTTGATGAAGCCACTCTCTAATTCAAATCTTTAAGGCTTGTGTATTTGTTTGGGTCTGTAGTCACTTATTGTTCCTCAACAGGTGTAGGTCCACATGTGCAGAAACTCCCAATGCTTTCTTTTTTTGGCTAAGAGCCTGAGTTGCCTTTGACAGGGAGGCTTTTGCTGCAGCATGCTGGAGATTGTAGTCAATGAGGTCATTGACATGATCATTGACAAGATCCTTCTCCAATTGATCCACATGGCACTGGTAATCTTCAACAGTCTTTTCCAGTGCAAGTATATGTGCCAACTGTTCAGCACCCTTGTTCTTTGACTGCCCTAGATATCTGATGAGAATATGATTGCAAGCACAAGGAAAAGACTAACTGGGTAAGGGTTGAGTTTGTGGATGCACCTGTGCAGCCCACTGCTCTCTCAGTATTTGCATGTCAACATGCCATGCATGGAGGGCTGCCAAAGCCAACATTTTCTTGCTTTTGCAGAGGGTCCATTTCTTGTTCAACCACTGGCCAAGAGCAGCAAAAGACTTTCTTATCCAGGTGAAGAATCTGATTGTCAAGAACAAATAGTCTTTGATGATGCTGAGGAGGAAGTTAGCACCTGAACTTTGCAGTATATTACAGAAGCAGAAGATCAATACTTACACTGGAAACTTGGAGGGTGGGAACGAGTATCTTCAAAGAGCTCCACAGCTGCCCACACCCTTCACCATCTGACAAACCAAAGCCCACACATTTACATGGGTAGTATACCAACTGGCAAGGCCACTGATGACCATTAGCATGGAAAACTGAGATACCAAACTTCAACCTAGATAATATTCCATCATCCAGGAGCTTCCACTTGTGGCAACTATGCTCCAGTTGACAGCCAATGTCATACAAGAGACCAACAGTCATGGTGGCAGGGAGATGCTCAAACAAATGTTTCACTAGCACTAGAGCATAGTGCTGCCTTTCCTCTGCTGATTTCATATTGACCAACCAGAGAACATGATCATGATGACAGAGAAAAGCCATAAGCCCTGTGTCTGCAAAGAAAGAGGTACTTGCTTTTTGCCTCTTCTCATCTGCTGCCTGGAAAGGTGCACCACATCCATCCAACACAGAAGTAGGAACTTTCATCCCATCCTCCAGACTGTCCTCCTTTGATTGATTTTGAATCAGGGAATATTAACTAGATGGGAGGGACTGCTGTTGCCCAATGAAAAGTTCCATAGCCTTCACATCTGACTCAGGGATGAAGACAGTACTGGTAGGGTTAGGAGAGTCATTTGCAGCAGAGTTATGGGGATTATGGGTTCACTTTGGAGTGAAACATGCATCCAAACAGACAATGCACCCCAAACTATTGGCAGTCAGCAATCAAGTCACTAGTAGTGTGCCTGTGAACTCACTCATCCTGAGCAGCACCAGTTCTCTGCAAATCACCTCCAAAACAAAGAAGGCAATGAGTTTTGAGAAGGGACCAAGGTTGCAGGGTGAACTAGAGTGTGAAAACTCAGTCTTCAAAGTAGGACAAAGTCTATATTATTAACCAACCTAGAGTGTGAAAACTACTCAAGCTGGTAAGTAACAGCAGGGTATAATACAAGTAAGGAACATTACCTCAGTCTTCAAAGTAGGACAAAGTCTGAGGTACAAGGAAAAATGAAGTGGCTAAATTGTATGGAAATATTATGTAAGCAGTGCTTGCTGTACACAACAGCAGTATGTTCCAACAATGAGCACACAAGTAATCACTTGCTCAAGAACTACCTTGTTTTTCAGAGGCTGAGGGAAAGGAGTGTACCAGGGCAGCAATATATTCATCAGAGTATATTCTCAACACTGTATACCAATGATAAGCATTGGTAGATCATCTTCAAAGAGTGTCCTGGTGGTTTTTGGTCAGTACACTTGTCATGGAGACACTCAAATGCATGCATGTGTGCCATAGGATATACCACTGCAGCAAGAACAGTACTCTACAGTAATGTACATGCAGGGACATGTCATACAGTAACATAGGGGTACAGAGTGGGTGAAATGTACATAGGATGAAGATTAATATCATGAAGCAGAACATACCTTTGACTGCATCTTGTACCCTTGGGCATCCAAAAAACTTTCAAGTGCCTCACACCATGCAGTTGTGTTGAAGGTCAACTGCACAAAAAGTGTTTTCACAAACTCCAGGACACAAAGATCTACAGCAAGAGTTGGAGTAATTGGTGAGCATGCAAACAGGCCATGCCCTATGAGCTGTACAGTGGCTGGAGTGCATGTGCAGTAGCTGATCTCAATATCCTCCAAACCTGATACATGTAAGCCCAGTGCTAGGGGGATACAAAAGCTACATATAGTCAAAGAAAAGACAACAGACACTGAGCTGATGCACAGCACATATGGCATAAAATCTGCACATTTATTTTTCACAGCTGCACTGCCACACTACTGCACCCATTCAACTGCGTCATTACCTTTTGCAGCTGCACCACCACACCACTGCACCCATTCAACTGCATCATTACCTTTTGCAGCCACATTGCCACACCACTGCACACATTCAACCATGTTTTTATGTGTTGTGGCTGCACAACTGCACTGCCACACCCACTTGATTGCATCACTGTTACCTTGCACAGCTACACTACCATGTTATTGTATAATATATAGATGATATTTCCTTTGTAAACTCAACTACTATACCATGTCCAATTACATTACTGTGCCACAAAGCACAGAAAAATATTTCCAGGGTGTAACACAGGGAGGAGGCAATTGTGCCACTACACTTGGAGCACCCCATCCCATCCTATGAACTTTTGATATGTTGTAGGCACACATGGCCCCTTTAAAGGGATATAATAACTAGATAGATATGTCCAATATATCAAAAAGGTGTCAACTTTGTCAGTTTTTCCCCCATCACACTTTCCAACCATTTATGCCCATTAGGATGGGCAGAAAAGCATTTATTTATGGTCTAATACAATTATAGTACATTTAACTATCATATGCAATGCCCACAGGGCAGGGACAGAGCACAGGAAGGAAGGGGAGGCTGGGGGCAATGAGGGCAGTGTGTGGGAATGTTGGATATCAGGCACATGCAAAATGAGGACATGTTTTGGGAATAGTGGCTGTGCATTGTGTGACACAACTTCTGGGAAGCATGTGACTAAGGGGAAAGCTGAAGGGAATTCCCTAGGCTGGTCCCAAGGGGTGCTCAGTGGGAAAGGGAATAGAATATGACTGTAGAGGCAAGTAGGTAGTCAGGTGTAAGTTGCAGAATTTAATTCTGGGGGGCAGTAAGTGCATGAGACACAGAGAAGCTGGGTATATGAAATTCCAAACAGTGTTCTTGACTTGTTGGCAGTATTTCTGAGATGAGGGTTATGCAAGTAGGGACTTGTGAATGCAGAGGATGCAGGAGGCACTGAGGATGCTATCGACACTGTAGAGGAAATAGACTCTTTAGACTCTGGGAACTCTTAGACTCACAAATATTCCAACATCAAGATGGAATTATATAGTACATGGGGTATAGGTATGAGTCAGAATAAAGTGGGGTGGGTAAACTAAAATCCCAGAAAATAAAGGTGGACATGTCAGACATCAATGATGTACAGGAACATATGAAATTGGACTGGTAAGTAGTAAACAAGGGAGGCAAAGGGAAGGATGGGCATCTTCCACAGGATGAGGGTATTGCATATTACAGTGTGAGATGTGAAAGGAAAAGTTTGTAGGGAGAGGCAGTGGTGCTGAAGGGAAGAGCATATGAATGTGAAGTAAGGTTTGCAGAATTTGGGGCAACAGGGGTAACCAGAGTTTTTTACTGACATCTGACAAGACTGACTGGTAACATGGTGGGGCAGTGGCTAGGGTGACACAATTGCAGAATTGCAGATCAATGTTCTGATGGCCCTGGATGGCATGCTGATGGCCAGGGGAAATTCTGAAGCTGACAGGGGATAGGAGAATACATGTGGTGACAAGCAGAGAGAATTCCAAAGGCAACAAACTGGGTAACACTGATAGGGGCTTGCCTTGGAGGTGGTGGAATTAACTGATGGTATCCTGCTTCAGCCTCAGGGAGTATACAACTCCCTACAGTGTTTTTATGCTTATGTAATCACATAAAATGCAGAGGAGTAATGAAAATTACCTGTGGGGATTTGTGGAAAAGAAACTCCTAAGGGGAGGGGGGAGATCTCAGATCTGCATTACTAGTACATTGATGCATCACTACTGGTAGGAGGGAGTTGGGCAGTCTTGCATCACAGTTAAGCTGCAATTATCATAATTGATGCACCAGGAAGACAGGGAATGGTGACTCAAGTAGTTCAATTATGTTGCTATATATGTAGTATGAAGTCATACCTGATGTCATAGCCATGTCTTGACCCTGGCCAGACTCAGCCTCACATTCACCCAGTCTGGCCTCAGCCTTGCCAAACCTCTACCCCCAGTTGGTCTAGTGTGGTGTAAGGAAAATCCAAGTATTCTGGACTGCTGAAACTAGAAGGCAGGACTCAGCACTTTGTAGTGGTAGGGTTTTGTGGCATTTTCAGTGTGTTCCACAGTGTAGTACTGGCAATGCAAGCAGTATACATAGTTCATGCACAGTGGTTTGCAAGGCAGGCAGCATAGACACAGACCATGGTAGAAGAAAGAGTCTGAAGGAAAGGAAGTAACCAGAACAAAGTGACCACAGGTATAGCAGTGTGTGAGAGGGTGCAAGGGTGTGGGAAGGTAGCATGTGAACAGTGGTGGGTGCAAACAGTATGGAGACATAATGATAGCCACAGAATGGTTGATAATAGGGGCTTACACATCTAGGGAATGCAGATTCCTCACAGTGGGTGGCACTACAAAGCAGTGCTACTATGCAGTGTCATTTTGGTTGAGCCTGACCCAGCCTCATCCCTGGTCCACCCTCATCTCTCTCCCAGTCTCTGGTCACCTTTGTCATGCCTTACTAATACTGTTCTTACCAATCATATTATCAATCATTGTGAGACCAGCACTACCAATCTCTGAACTATAGCTAACTCTAGTATATAAGCTCATAGATACTTGGCCTGTACTTCTTCAGTCCTGGACTCTCATCTTGGCCTCAGACTCAGACTGCAACCCCTGCAAGGGAATAGCACTGTGTCTCCAGTCACTATGTCCAATCAGTCCACCATCCAACTGCTGCCCCCTCTCTGTTCCCAACTTCTTGGCCTTGCACTCTCACCAGTCTCCAGTCCAGTCTTGAACCTGGCCACCCTGGACTTGACACCTGATGTGAAAATCTTGAGTCTACCTTCCACTGAGTGGTGCAGTGTACTATTACATGTTTTTGATATGATTTGAGAATCTGCACAATTCTTTGTGCCTTTTCGAATGCTTCCTGAGTGACTATTTCACTTTCCCAGTATTCCCCCCTGCAGGTATGGACTTGGGGATGTTGTAGGGGCTTCTTCTGAGTATTCCAAACCTTTCTAGATGGTTACATTGGCAATACATACCCTGGAACTTGACAAAACTCCTAAATACCAGAAGGAGGAGATTATGGCATAACACCTCAAGGAATCCACCTGATGTAATGAGGTATTGGTATGTTATAGGTACAGAGGCCCCCTCCAAGGGGGTGCCTTTTTTGAGTGCCCACATCAGGTGTATCAGAAATGCAGACACTTCTTTGTTTAAGCCTGACATCCTTTCCAGCTATTGTGGGACCCTTGGATACTTGATAGCAGGTCTAATTATGCGCCAATATACTCAGTGGAACTACTATACCATGTACAATTACAGTCTTAGCACCAGAATGCCTAGGAAATCATTTTCCAGCTGAGATTGTGTCACTGTACCTGAAGTACCCCACCACAGCTTATGAGTTTTGAATATGTTGTAGGCACATATGGCACCTTAAAGAGGACACAGTAGCCAGGTAGAAAAATCAAAAAGTTGTCTGCTTTTTATTTTATTTTTCCGCTGTCACACCTGCCATTATCAGAACTGATGCATAGGGAAGTGGGTGTTGGAACATAAAGTGCTCCTGTAGTACTTAACTACTGTGCGATGTTTTGGCTGCTTACATAAGCTGAAATAGCGCACATACTTGTAGTATTTTCTATTAGTATTCCCTCAGTAGTTTGTTCACTACTGAGGGTAAGTCTGTTTATATTACAAGTATTCTACTATACTGACATCCTGTAGTAGCCTACAGGTACAGTAATACACTCAGTAGTTTGTTCACTACTGAGGTAGCCCACAGATATTTCTACAGTGGGAAGGGCAGCAGAGAGTAGACATATTGTGTAGGGTTTGTACTGAGTTTACACAGGAAATATCATCTATGTATTATACAATAACATAGTTGTGTAGCTGCACAAGGTAATGACAATGCAGTCAAGTGGGTGCAGCTGCAAAAGGTAATGATGCAGTCAAATGGGCATGGCTGTGTGGCAGTGCAGCTGCAAGAAATAAATGTGCATATTTTACACCATAAGCACAAGTACATTGACTTGGTGTAGCAACTTGAGGCTCTACCACTATGTGCAGGCTTTGTGAAACCTCAAGGTACCACAGGTACAGCTTGACAAGGACTGGGATAATTTCTGACCACTGCCACCATTGCTTTTGTCAATTCTGCAAACTGCTTGGGGGAAAAGTACTCTGGATGACTGAAACCTCAGGCATGACATCAAAGATACCAAGTTCACACATAGGATGTTGTTGTTGAGGTCATTGTGGTATGGCATCTGCATGCTGGGCAAGTCATTGGTGGCCAGGAAGGACAAAAACAGGAGGGGGGCAGGAAGGTAGAGCAATTTCATACCAGGAGGGCAGCAGTGACAGGCTAGGGGAGGGGGGACAAACAAGGCCTGCATCAGGCCCTAGTCAAGGATGAACTACATACTGATGACTCTAGTGTTATAGACCAACTACTCAAGATCATTACAATTGCAGGATACAAAGAATGGGGCAAATGATGTACCACATGCAAGATACTGTGGTTACAAGCAATGGCAACAATGACAAGGATGCAAGTGACAATGGCAACAACTGGAGCAACAGCAATGACAATGACAACTAGACCTAGCACAGGTCAATGGCCAGTCAAGATTGACTGTGCTGTGCAATGGGAACAAGGCACTACAAGCATGGGTACTGGGCTTGGCAGCCCAAGGTTTCATTTTGAATTCATAGTGTTTTACTCACATTAATTCTACACTAGGGAAAACTGGTTTATGCCACAAGGTATGAGTGACATCCAGGCAATTGCAAGGCAAGAAAGGATGTCAACATCACTGAGAGCAACAGCAATGAAGAAGAAGACTAGACTTACCACAGATCAATGGCTGTACAAGACAGGAAGAGCTGTTCAACAGAAACAGGGTGCAACGAGCATGGATACTGAGCCCAATGGCTCTAGGGTTTGTTTTGAATTCAGAATGTTTTACTTACAGCTATCCTACTCTAGGGACAACAGGCATATGTGATGAAGTATGACCAAAGTACTAGCAACTGTGATTCAAGAAACTATGGTGATCTATGAGCAAATGTTGTGCAGATGTATGACAAGATTAGTATGATGACTACAGTTCAAGCTACAACCACAACTATCAAGGACACAAGATCTGACAGGCACAGATACTGAGCCAAATGGCTCAAGGTTTTGTTTCAGTCTTAAACTGTTTTACTTACATCTACTCTATTCTAGGAAAAACAGATGTGTGAGATGACACTTGAGCAACATCCAAGCTGCCACAATGCGAGGAACTACAAAGATCTATGCAGAAATACAGTGGACCATTGAGGAGAAGCTGTAAGCATATGCTTACTACTCATGCATGTGCCACTCATGTGCCACTTGCATTTCATATCACACTATCACATCTCCTATCATGCCCTTGCCTTTTGTCTGGGCATGCAGATCCCTACTGTGTTGTACTGTTTGGATCCTGGGGTATATATATCAGTGCTGCATGTATGCACAGGCACATCTCTTCTTTCCCTCTTTCTCCCTTGATCATCTTGTATCAGCATATGTGCTTGGTTGTCTAATCCACATGCCTGTCCATGTTCTGTTGTTGTTGTGATCTGTCTTGAGTGTGCTCACCCCTCCTGTGATGAGTTCCACTTTTTCTGAACATGCCATAGTGTGTGTTGATGCCTGATAAAGGTGTCAAGCTGCCATCTGGTCGCATTCCCTCCATCCATGTGCCCTTGACTACTCATAGTCAAGGGAATCACCCCCTGCCAGTGACATCATTGTCATCTCCACTGTCCTCATCTTTGTCTTTGCTGTCTCAGTCCTGCACTGCCTCTCTTCCACTACTGTCTATACCACCACCTGTGGCCCCATATAGTGCCAACCAATCTCCATCTTCCTCTCCTGCAGGTGTTCCTTCCCCACACACCCCTTTACCAGTGTCTCCTGCTTCCACAGACAGTTCCACAACAGTCTTCCCTGTTATCATAATGTCATTGACACAGTTCCACACAGCATGATGCAAGAATACTGTGCCCAGTAAGAACCCCCCCTTCTTGACAGTGGGCAATATCACCCTGGAAGGTTTGTGGAGTTGGGAACTGGGCTGCAAAAACTACTTCCAGTTGAAGAGTGTAGCAAAGGATGTTCAGGTCACTAAGGTTGCTGGCCACCTCCTGGATCCTTGCATGCAAAATTGGATCAGTAACAATGGCAGTTGACTGACTGCTCTGATCTTATGGATGAGGTTTGTATGTATTGGCTCCCCAGCAACTGTGCAGAAGCTATCCAGCAGAAGATGTTGTCATCAATGCAGGGTAGTAAGGCCTTTCATCTGTGGGCCATTGAGGTGGAGAGCCTGAATGTTCTGTTGCAAGGAAGTGAGTTCCACCTTACCAAAGTCCATCTCCACTTTCATTTAGAGTCACACATGCATCTGGACCTTACCACAGAATATCATCTGACTGCTGCCTGTTGCAAGAAATGATTCCATGCTTGGCTTGATTTGGTCCATCTCCTAGACAAGAAACATGTTCATGATGCTGCAAAGCTTGACACAGCTCTTCATAAGAAGCCCTTTCAGCCTAGTTGCTCAGCCAACACTACTGCAACTAGCTCAAAGGCACCAGATGGCCATGCTTGTACTCATCCTCCTGCCCTTATGGTCAAAGAGTGCCAGCTTCTCCATGATAATTCTGGTTGTTTCAAGTGCCATCATCTCTTCCAAAACCACACCACACACAACTGTCCAAATGATTTCCCAGATGCTAAGAACTACAAGGTGCTGACTGCAGCTGATGTTGAAGCTGCCATCATTGAAGAGGAGCCAGTGGCGAAGCATGCCCATATTACTGAAGTAGATGATGACACTGATGCCATCACTGTTGTTATGCCTTCAGCCACCCTTGGAGATGGAACTGACTCAGGTGAAGAGTACATTGCACCTCTTTCAGTTCCTCACCTTCAATGATCCTGCCATCTTGAAGAGCCTAATTTGACCTTCTCCTTGCCTGTAAAAGCACTGATTGACAGTGGTTCACATTTAGTTCTGATTGACAAAAGCCTTGTCTCAAAGCTGGGCCTCCAGCACCATCAGCTGCATAAGTCCCTTGATGTTTTGGTGGCACTTTCCTCTGGTGACCAGGAGGTCATGTCTTTACAGAGTTATGTTGTGCTGTCCTGTCTCTCTTCAGATTCACATTTTCATTGGAATTCTGTTCACACAATCAGTGTGCCCCATTTGTGTACATCACTTTTGTTAGGGCTTCCTTTTCTCTTGCATAATGGGCTTGTCATCCATCATGCTCTCCATACATGTGTCAATAAAAATACTGGTTACAATTTAATGAATTCTCCCCTGGTTTCTGTCCCCAACCCCTCTCAACTGGTGACTCCTACTGTTCAGGCTGTCAAGTAAATGAAGAATGCTGTTCTTGAAGAGCTATGTGGTGTCTTACCAACATATTGCAAACTTGCTGAGGTGGTGGTTACTCTGGTTTGTGCAGTGGATATCATTGGCATGGTACAGCACTGCATTGAGGTTCTTGTTGCTGCAGAAGAGCTGACAAAGCATGATGCATGACTCAAGGATGAGTTCATCAGCAAAACACAAAAATGTGTTAGTAACTCATAGCTGCCCATAGTATTTGCAAAATTCCATATTAGTCCAAAGCAATGTCAAGCATCCTAGCAACTCATAGTGCCAGAGTAGACTACACCAGACTTGCCCAAAGTAGTGGCCAGCATCCAAGCAACTCATAGCACCTGAGTAAGCCACACCAGTGATACCAGCAATCCAAAGACCAATAGCTACCTAGCATACAAGGGAACAGACACACCTGGCTAATACAGCAACCTAGATTCCCACTGTAGTAGAGAACTTGGTAGATCTAACTTTGTTCCTATGCATGAAGGCAACAACACACAGACATAACATACAGCATTTTTCAATAAGTACAGGAAAGTAATGGATAGTACTAGTCTAGACAAATGGCAAGTATTCAACTACCAGCATGCTCAATAACTGTGCCTATCAAGATCTGGCATAAGTAAAATAGTGGCTAAAAAGAAAAGAGCAAGCATGGCATACCATTGGACTTGAGAGATGGCTGCAGCTCACCAGCCAGAACACTAACGTCAAAAATAGGCTCCCCCAGTCCACATTTTTTCATTGCTACACATAATGAGCTAACCTCCATATCTTTTTCATGGACTCTTGCCTCGCCACTGCCCACCTTGTACTTGTACAACTTGGCTATCGATTTGTATTCATGGGTGATGCATGTGGCCAGAGCTTGTTCCACATGAAAGACTTCATGTTGTGCATGTGCTACATCAAGAAGGAGAAGTGCCTCATGATTCAGCTGACTCTTTGATTCATGCTGCAGATTGAAAACCTATCAATGAGTGGTTATTAGGAAGGAAAAAAAGAACTTACTGTGTGAGTGGATGACTCCAATATTCCATACATCTCAGCTAAGACACCAGTCATCTCCACTTTGACCTCAGCACTGCTAGAAAGGCTGTTGCAGGAAGAGAACCCCCCATCACGAGGCTTATGGGGCAGTCCTTTGCTGCCCAGGCAACACTTGACTGTGGGCATGGTCGATCCAGCATGAAGGTGTGTGTGATTGAGGTTATAAATGGACATGAGTGACTATGTTTGCAAATGGGATGTGATTGGGTAGTATATGAGAAATACACTCTGTAGCAATCTGAACAACATCCTGATTTGCACTGAAGTGATTGTCCAAGTTGCAGTAAAGGCAGCTTCCAGAGTCACAGCACTGTTGCAATGCACATGAGCCAGCCATCCTCTGGGTGCAATACCTGGGTCAATAACTTGGTCCATCTTCATGAGCCTCTCCAACCTTCAAGCTTGAACATTCATAACTCTCAACACCCAACACACTTAGAAGATGTCCTGATGAGCACTGACCCCAATGACTATGCAACTCATGATTACCAAGATTTTGTTCATATGGCATTTGACACATGGGGGACAACCACAGATGACTTTGAGGGTGCAGCTAAAACATTTGGACTTGGCCCAACATTTATGGACAAATTTAATGGCGACCAGTTCAGCAACCTATGGGTATCAAATCTGTACTACCCCTTCAACTCCCACAATGAATGGGAGCTGGCATCATGGTTACTTCATTCAGGCCTGAGCATGAGAGCTATAGACTCTTTCTTGTCATTGTCAATTGTAAGCCTGTCCCTATTCTCTCTGAAGATCATTATTGACATGTGCCAGATACAGCTACTAAACATTTCCTTTCAAACAGCCAGAGCACTTTGTGGGCTGGCTGAGTTACTCCCTGGCAGGCTGTGCTGGTGCTCAATGGAGATGACTCCTTTGCAGCCAACCAAACACCCTGTGCACTGGTACTGGCACAATCCCCTGGAATGCATTGCATTGCTCCTCAACCACCCTTTGTTCTCTGACCAGCTCAATTTCATTCTGGGGTGTGTATACAAAACACCCAAGATGCTTTGTAGGGTGTATACAGAGTGGATGACCACTGATGATGCTTGGCATATGCAGGTATGTTTCCACTGCAAGCTATAGATCCTTTTATTCAATTGACATACCCCAGTCACGGCTTCTGAGAAGAGCGACTCTTCTTGGCACAATACTTTCTTCAGATGAGATGAATATTACTACTTTATGTGGTGGCAGAGTTGCTCATCCACTTCTTGTCAGCCTAGCAAATATCAAGATGTCCACATGCCTAAAATTGTCATCCAACTCATTTATGCTTGCCACTCTCCTCCCCATCCCCAAGTTTGTGCACAAGAACAAGTGTATCCACAGCCTCCTTGAAGATAGGCTCATTCATGAATGCCTGGATATCGTACTTGAACCTGTCAAGCAAGCTGCCAAACTTGGCATTATATTACCAGATTCTCTGGGGCAAATGCAGTACTGTTTCATGCCAATCGTGGGTTATATCACCAACACTCCCAAGGCTGCCATGCTCGCAGCTGTTGGGGGAAAGACTTCCCCAATCACCATGGCAATGTACAAACAGTTTGGAGACCCATTCTGACATGAGCCACAAACCACATCCACCACTTTGGCTCAGCTCGCAGTGGTGAAATCAAAGGTCCACCCTACAAACATCCAAGTCTTCTTTCATGAAGCACAGCACTTTTGCCTCAGCAGAGTTGGTGACCCATTTTGGAGGGACATTCTGCTTTCTTGTCCAAGTACTTTTATAACTCTGGAGCCCCTTCACCACCTGCACAAGGAATTTTGGGACCATGACATGAAGTGGTGCATAAATGCAGTTGGTGAAGCTGAAATCAACTTTTGCTTCTCAGTTTTACAGCCTACTGCAGGGTTCTGTCACTTTAAAGGTGGTGTTGCTAAGCTGAAGCAGGTGACTGGATGCATGCACTGTGATGTCCAGCATTACATCATCAGTGTTATCGCTGGAGCAGCCCCTCCCAAAATTATTACTGCTATTCATGTGCTCATGGACTTCCAATACCAAGTCCAAGCTTACTGCATTGACAATGATGATCTTTGTATAATATAATATCTTCTGCACTGGATGAGTTTCATGCACACAAGCAGTCGATACTCAATCATGGTGCATGATGTGGTAAGGGAAACAAGCCCATTGACAATTGGCACATCCCCAAGTTAGAACTCATGCAACGCATTGTACCAAGTGTGAAGCATGTCAGAGTCACCATCCAATGGACTGCTGATGTAACTGAACACACCCATGTATTGGAGATCAAGACACCCACATCAGCTAGCAATAACAATAACTATGATCCTCAAATTTGCCAGTACCTCGATCGCACTGAAAATTGTAGGATGTTTGAACTTGCGACATCATTATATGAATTGAAGACTCACTCCCATGGTTGTGCAGAAGAAAAGTCCTTGGAGGTTGAGGATGGGAGTTCTGATGATGGCAACAGTGAGATCAGTGATCACAAGGAGGTGACATCAGTAGACCACTTTGTGAGCTGGTAGTCCTAGGGAATCTGTCCAGTGCTGGACAGCTCTGGACAGCTCTGGCCAGCAAAAGTGATTTACTGATGGAATCTAGTTTCCAAGACACCAGGTCCTGTGCAGCCTGTCACTGATTACTTTGCCATCTCTGTGCACCTCAGGACCCAGGATCCAGACTCCATTCCCTTCCCCTTGCATAGTTTTATCACAGATGGTACAATGATCAACCTTTCCTGCAACCCACCCTTGTGACACATTAGTGTTGATGGTGCTGCTGAGAAGTTTGGACTACTTCACCTCTGAGCCACCCTTGTCAATTTTCTAAATTGTGAGAAGGTGTATGGACCAAGCTCTGTGTACACTATAAGTGGGCAATGTCAGGGATCAAGCTCTTCAACCCTGCCTTTTACCAATCTGCAGGTTTGGTACAAGATGGGGCTGCAGAACATGGCAATACATGATATCATGGACATCCTCCCTGCCCAGACTCTCTTCTGTTCTCCACCTTGTGAGACCTGGACCCTTGGCCACTATGATGCAGCTATCATCAATGTGGACCCCTGTTTCAAATGGCCAGAGAGCGGCCTGAAAGGTTCATGGTCCACACAACTTTTCCATGTCACTCACAAGAGTATCTTAGGTCATGTTGTTGGCCAGCTCCATCTCCTGATGCACCCTTTTGGCAAGAGGGGGGTAAGATGGTCATGGACAGACTGTTTTTTGGTGTACATACAATGTTTTGACATAGCAGCTGAAGATGCAACACACCTACATATCCTTAGGCACACAACAAGAGCAAATGGCCAATGTCTTGGCGATGTCATCCTGCTCAGTGAGGTCTGGGCATTCACACATCTCATACCTCGCTTCAGGCAAACTGCAGATAATTGATTGATGGCATACAACTCCTTTGAGCATTCTACTGAATTCTATCTCAACAAATACTTTGACAAAAATACATACTTTTCCCTAAGTTGTTTGGACTCTCCTCCCATCTAGTCAACATACATGTTACCTTACCATATACCAGAGCTTATTACATGTTAATGTTGAAATGCATCAGTATTTTGAGTGGTGGCACCATTTTCAAATGTGTGACCCTACTTGTCAACAACCCTCAGAAATGTCCAAAGACTCAAACAAAAACAGATATCAAACAATAGTGGCACTCAAGGTGGCTTTGGAAGTGCTCTGGAATCGCACTCTGACAGGCCACTGCTGCTATAAAATTTGACTCTGATGTGCCATGCCCTGTGGCACTGCTTGACTAGCAATACATGGTAGTTACTTATCCTGGAAGATACATGTCAAATAACATATCAAACTCATATTAATGCATTGTACATGATTGATAAACATCTACCCATCATTTAAGAGCTACCAGATGCCCTGGAAATCTGTCCACCAAGATCTGCTCAAACAGCTGGATGAGACTGGCCTTCATGTTGCAATAGCAAGGCTTGAAAATGCATGACATGGAGTTGATGGTAGCAGCTCAGAATCTATGTCAACATTGCTGAGTTCAGGCTCCAGCTCCCCCACAACTCTCTTCTTCATCACTCCACCATCGCCAGTCACTCCAATCCTGTCAGATTTCGAATCCAGAACCTCTGATGACACAGACTCCACAGCTGAGCATGATGGGCATTATGCTTGGCTGCTAAATGCAATCATGGCTCTCAGAGATGAAGTAGAGCATGTGCATATCCTTGAGAGACCTGAGATGCCAATGATGCAGGCATCTCAGCTGTGCCTCCTTGAACATTTTGCAGATCATTGGCCCCACCTGTTTCAAAAGCACCTTCATGTAGACCCACCAATTTTTGATCACATTCTGGATCAGATTAGTGGACTCACGATATTCCAAAGCAATTCTGAAAACCATCAGCTGGCAGTTGCAGTCCAGTTGGCAATCTTCCTTTTCTGCACAGGGCATTATGGAAATGTGGCATCACCTGAGGATGTAGCACAGTGGGCCTGGTGTTAGCATTGGCTCAGTTGTCAATTGGATGAACCATGTGATGGTAGCTATACTGGATGAGCACAATAGATTCATCAATATTCTATCTGAAGACTCACAGGACATGGAAAGAGCATTGGTTTTCACTGAGTCACACACCTGTTCAGCCTGGAGGAATGGCATGTTTGCCACTGATGGTTCAAGTATTCCCCTCTTTGAGAAACCACATATCTTTGGGGAAATGTTCTATGATAGAAAATCTAGGTACTTGTTGAACTGCCAGGTGTGTACTCAAATGCTGAGTGTGAACAGCAGAAGAAACTTACCAAGATAGCTTATTGTTTTGCTGCACAATCTTCTTGTCATGGACTACAGACTTGGTCATCCAGGAAGCATCCATGATGTGTGGGCCTTCCAGGGGACTTGCATTGCTTCAAACCCTATGCAGTTGATTCCACATGATCATTGGATGTGGGCAGACAGTGCATACCCATCAGAGATGTGGTGTGTTGTCCCCTTCAAAAAACCTAAAGGTGGGAGATTATCTCGAGATCAGGATGTGTATAACAAGTACCTTTCAAAGGTATGCACCTAGTTTTGCCACAGTACATGGGCTGACAACTTTGGAAGATCTGCATACAAGTTGAACATGCATTTGCCACCTTGAAAGGGCACTTTCAAAGCCTCCATGAAGTGCACGTGAAAATCCAGACAGAGAAGGATATGAAAGTCATGATTTACTGGGTGCTTTGTTGCATCATCCTACACAACATGATCATCTGGTTTGAGGAGGAAATGGATGATACAATTGAGCATTCAACTGACTGGGTGGTCAATGAAGGAAGTGGCCTTGATGATGGGGATGGAATTGCTGCAGTGGAGGCTGTGGAGACTATTGGTCAGCGATTTCGAGCAAAGCTATTGGATCAGTTGTTTCAACATCTTGGATGGGAACAAACCCATTAATGGCAGTTGTGGGAGACAGTAGTATTAGCAAGATGAAAAAAATACATTCACCATATGTACATCTTGCAAGAGAATAGCAGAAACATGAATATGATGTGAGTACATAGTGGGAACATGCCAGAGATGGATACAGTGGGGAAGTGTGGGTAAAACCTTGGCCACAACAAGATAAACCTATGCAGTGGGAGGGGTTGCATCTGAACCAGCCTTCATGAGTTTTGTGAGCTCGATTTTGAGGCAAAGTGTCTCTGCCTTGCTGTTGAAGGTGATTTCCTGGGCCTCCATCAGCTGGATGTCAAGTTTCTTTGCCTCCAATTCCATCTTAGTCACCATTTCCACCTGCTCTTTCATCAATTCCTCCTTCCTACAAAGATATTCCATCTTGATCATATAGTGTTTAGTCTTCCCAGAAGAAGAAGAAGCCACTAGTGACTCAGCTTCATGACTCAAGGCAATGACCTGGTCTTGAAGCTGAGACTTGCCACATTTAGTTAGCATCGAACTTGGCTTCATCAAATGTGTCTTTGATGATGAGTCCCAGAGGGACTGGCTAGGTTTTTGGGAAGAGCTACCAGAGGAGTCAGATGTTGTCATAGAGGTGATACTTGCAGATGAAGGAGGAGGGTGAAGGATATGGCAATGACCAAGAGAAGGCAATTTGGCTATCTGATGAGGGCATATGACCCCTTTGCAGGAGGGAGAACCTAGAGGAGAAATGAGTGTCACTTGGTGTTGAAGGCCATTGTAACTGGCAATAACTTATCAATAAAATTTCATTAACATTGCTCTGAATGAACATGAACATACCTCGTCACCCTGCACAGATGTGGAGTCCATGTTGATGTTGGGGTACTCATCACCACCAGTCTGCTCATCCCCAAACCCCAGCATTGCCTCATCAAACCCAGCTCCACCATCTTCTTCACCCTCATTAGTGACTTCACCACCAGCTTGAGATGGCACATCCTCCTCAGCTTCCTTGAGTTCCCCTGCTGTCCCCCCCACACCCATGCAGTCACCTGCAATCTCAGCCCTGGAACCCAAAACATTCTTCATACCAAGTGTCTTGTTTTGGATAACCACTAAGAAGCCCTCTGCATGGTTGTTGTTCAGCTCAGAGTTGAAGGGCTTGGGATTGAACGATGGGTTCCCCTGCCAAATTGAATGTAAGTCATCATACCAAGGAAAACTGTTGAGAACAACGTCTGTATGTACACATAAGCCCCTGCATTCTTGTACATTGGTCATGTAACATACCATGAAGGTTGGCAAATTTTGGATGGCCAGGTATGATGCCTTCCCCTGACTGTTTGAATTGTGCATGGCACTTTCAATAGCTCGCTTTCAGCCTAGATGATCATTAGTGAATCCTGGGTTTATCAGATGATTGGAGACTCACATATTGAGATGGTTGCCCACACTGACTTGAAACTTGGCAGCACTCACTGTGTACATGTCCTTGTAGACACTGTCATCCTCAAAAATGGCTTGGGCAATCATCACTTGGACCTCCTTCTTGTTGTGGCCCACTGGTCTCTCAGTCGAAGTAGATGATAATGATGGGGGTAAGTCGCCCTAAGTTTTTGTCACTGAAAAGAATCCTGCAGTTAGCAGGATGGCTAAGAAGCCACTGGACAAGTATTTCAGTATGAGGAGTATCCCAATTGATGTTTTTTGGCTGGGTACTTTCCATCGAGGAGTCAGCCACTGGCTGCTTGTTGGATGCTGGGCCCTTCCCTTTACTCCCACTCCCAGGTACTTGTGAGGATGATCCACCACCAGTAGTTGCAGTTACAGAAGGCCTTCCTCGACAAGCTTGTCCACTTGATGAAGCCATGGGTTTTGATAAGAGTGACTGCAGGCAAGCAGACTGTTGAGGGATGTCGTTGATAGGGAGGCATAATTTTCAAACTCCATCATGGCATTGCTCTCAAATTTGCCACTTCCAGAGCACTTCCAGAGCCACCTTGAGCACCACTAATAGATGGTACCTACAAGCTGATTGGTTCTCTCCCCCCACCCAAACATGGCCACACAGTTCATGTTATGGACAAGTTCACTGCTTCAGAACTTGAGGGCACCATCATCCATGAACCACAGATACAAGTTAGCTCTCCTCAGAGCCTTGGTTATGTTACAAATATTATCTTCAAGTCCTTCAGAGATACATTCACCTCCATAGCTCCCAGGTCCCTGATTGTCCCTCTGAAAACAATTCCTGCATGTGTCCATAGCTATTCCACCTCCTTCAACCAGGGTGGCTTGTCAGAGGACAGCCTGGTCAGCCTATATGATGACAATAGAAAGTGCTGGAACTGGGAGCTTTGTCCACCCCCAGGCTCTGATTCACCTCCTGAGCAACCTGGGCCACTTGCCTCAGAGCTGCTGGTAGAATTGGAAAAGCTCTGCTTTGAAAAGCAAGTTGCTCTGTTTCTCAATGCTATCAGAACTGCCACAAAATCCATGATGCCCAGTCTATCCAGAAAACCCCAGCATCAATGGATGGCAGACTGGAGCAGAACCAGCTTGTGGGGTTCTACAGGTTATTCCTGAAAGCCCAACCTCATCCTTGTCAATAGCACCCCAGTATCCCTTGACAAGATTACATGGTTAAGTCCCAAAGTTATTGCTGAGTACTCAAAGGAGTCTTTCAAGCCAGCATCCTGCCTTGGGAAGATGATGGACACTAAGGCATATCTAACCCTCATCAACCAGCCCTGGAGGCACTATGTCCTTGGATTATCAATTACTGATAGTGATCTTCTTCAACTTCACTTTTACAACCACTTTGGTGGTGCAATCTCACCCTCTATCAATATCCACACTGATGCAGAAGTCTTCATATACATTGTATGTGCCATTGCATTTGGCTCCTGCTCAACCCTTGGCTTCAATTCGACCATAGAGATATCCCCCCATCCTGCACACAGCCACAAATGCAGAGCACTCATGATACCTCTCTCCCCTTTCCCCTCTCCTACAATGCCTTCTCCTCACTCAGAGTTGGGCATCCTCCCCAGTGCAAACTCACTCCTGACTCCCACATCACCTGAACACATCCCAGCAATCAGGAGGATCCAAGTAAACAAGACCTTCTATGAGGTGCTTGATGTATTATTCTCAAGCACAGGCTTTCTAGGAAGGGGTACTGTTTGTTACCTTGCATGCTACAATGGGGAATACTACATCATCAAGGATTATTGGGTGGAGGAGTCAGAGCAGAGGACAGCCCTGCATGAAGTCAACATGATGAAGCTGGTCCAGGACATTGACAGAGTTCCCAAGTTGCAACACTACTGGGTCATTGAGGTCGAGCCAGGCATTGTCGATAAAACTGAACGATATTGTGATGAGAAGTGGCAATTGTGCATGAAGTCTTGGAGAACTCATGTGCAATTGGCTATGAAGCCATGTGCAAGGCCAATGGTAATGTTCAAGACAAAAAAGGAACTCGTTTCATGCATCCAAGATATTTTACAAAGTATGTATCCTCTTCCACTTGTAAAATCAATACTAATTGCTTTAACAGTCCAACAGCAGGCTCTCGAGAGGGGTGTCCTCCATCGAGATTGTAGCATCAACAATATGATGATCAAGGACTTCACAAATGGATTGTGTGGCTTTCTCCTTGACTGGGAATTTGCTGTACAGGTCACATTACAGAGGCAATATGACTTGGGTAGCACAGTAAGTACTACACAAAACATTTTGGAACTCAAAGCTGATAGTACACAAAGTGGACAGTCCCCTTCCTTTCAGTGAATATCCTTTGCCAACTCAAAGAAGCCATCACTAAAAGTGGAAAGACTAATGTCCCATCAATCTGGAAAAGTGCCTCTCTCACCTGCATATTCATTGATCACCCTACTACTATACACCATACATTTGTGGACAATATCGAATCCCTGTTCTACATTTTCATCTGGATCCTCATCCTTTATGATGGGCCACTTGGCCATGAGCATCACGATATCAGTCATGAAAAGACACTTCTTGGCTTGTGGAGTGAAAAGGCAGCCAAAGATCTCAAAATTGCCAGATGCACCAAGTTCACATTCCTTAATGACCTGTCCAAATTGAGGCTGGATTCCAAGGTCTTGCAATATTTTCAAGATCTAATCCCTCTGGCTAACAAGTGGTGCATATTGCTTGGGCAGCCCCTGCTGAGTGGAACTGCAGTGCAGTTCTCTGATGTTATCTCCCTTTTTGATTGTTTCTTGGCCAGCATGCCATATGTGAAACCACTAGAGATGACAAATGCATTCCAGCAGATCATTGCCCAGCACAAAGCCCTTAATTCAAGCATGTGTCCGAGTCAGGAGAATGATATGGATGTTATGTCTTCAGCAATTATGTCTTCTAAACACCTTTGTGAAGAGGTAAGGAGCATGGATAACCCTCCTATACCCAATAAATGCTTCACAGGTGTGTAGTCTTAGCATGAATTTTATGTTTAGTTCACATTCTGTACATTACATGTAAAGTGTTTCAATTCATTTGCAGCAGGTAACTGTCTCCATGTGTTGTTTTGTTTTACATCTTGCAATGAACCTGTCAATGTTCATATGGATTCACAAGGTGTCATTTTGTCGTGGTCCCCAGGCTTCCATCTTATACTGTTCTCTGCTTAACTGCTTGTACCTTCAGATGTCCACCCAATCTGGAACAATCCCACCAAAAAAGAAGGATAGCAAAAAAGCCAAACAATGACCAGAGGCCAACAGAAGCACTCGACCCACAAAACAACAAGCATCTAGGAAGCCCACCCATCAATCTCAAAGGGTCTCAGTCTGTTGCCACAGTGGGACTCCATCATAGTGGAAGGGCAGGGGTGGGTTCAGGTGGAAGGGCCAAGCAATTGGAGTGGATTGGTACTGCCCTTGAAGGCCAAGCTACATGGCTGTGAAAGTCAACAGATCTCCCCAACAATTCCATTGTAAATCCTCTTGCACCTCTGCCCACTTGGTGGAAAAAGGGTGGGGGCTGCAGTGCTGGCCAGAATGCACAACCAAAGGTCAGTTCTAGTTATTTGCAAATACCAAGCTAACTGCTTGCAAAGTCCAATGTCACTGCACCACCCTATGCACCTCCCATTGTGAATGGTCCTAGCCCAGTTGATATGCCTTCAGTGTCTTTTCATACTGATATTCAATGTTCATTTCAGAATCCTGTCCCTCAGTCTTCAACAGCAGTAGCAACACCTGTCTTCCATCAGCACCCCACAGACTCCCATCACTTTGGTTTCAGTGTTCTGGCTCAACAGCCAAGTCATATCATGCCTTCTGGGATGGAACCTGACCTTCAAGTGCTCAATAATAATCCATATATCACCATGATTCATGGAGACCAAGTTCCCAGTAATACATCTCATCCACCAACACCCCAGCCCAACTACCAGTCTCAGTTGATCCCCCACCAGCCACCTGCTACCATCCCCAACTCTTGTATCAACCCCTCCCTTGATAGCTCACTCTCATTGAGACAAACTTTGGCAACCGCTGATGTTCACCACAAGAGTTCAGAGAAGCTGTCATCAGAGGGCTCCTCAGCAGAGGAGTTGGAGTCCTTGAGTAATAACCCATAGGATGCAGAGGCTGGCAGGGTCTCTGGCAATGAGTCCAACAAAGATGAGGATGATGCATTTGGACGGGGTGCAATGAATCTTAGGCAATCAACTCATCCTGGTATGCATCAGAGGTTATTATGGTATTGGCTCAACATTCTTTGTTAGGCTTCTCCCAAGAAATGATGACAAGCAATCCTATTCACCACAATTCCTTACCCCCTGACCACAAGTTTCAGTACTCATGCAACAAGGATGACAATGTGGCTCTGTGAAGCTTACAATCCAAGGACAAGGCTCAGCCAGAGGTATGAAAATGCCATTCCTGCTAGCTTTATTTATTCAGATTGCTATTTTAGGGTTCCCAATGTGGTGCTGTTGTTGATGTTCTTGAATGCCACCATCACACTAATGGCCATCCTTCTGTTCCTGATCATGATCTTCTGACCCTTGTGCACAACTTGGTCAACAAAGTATCTCAGCACTGTCACACACCAAAGGTGTTTGGTGAGGTGGACATGGATACAGCTGATGAATGGAGATGAAGACCATAGCCCTCATGTGAAGAAGGACAGCCAGAAATGTCAGCAGTCATCCCTTGCACAAGAACAAGTCATCAGTGCCAAAGAAAAGGAAAGGGAGTGAGTTAAGCACTGGTTAAAATTCTTAAGTGCCTGTGCATGGCATTCCAGTTTTCAACATATCTCCACCATTTCTGCAGATACCAAGACCATTCCTACACTTGCTTGTAGTGCTCAGCCACACGATCTTACCTTCCAAAATTGGAAAGGATTTGTGCACTCCCTCCAAAAGACACTCATTTCACTAAATTCTTCTGATATGGCTGCCTCTACATCAATCATTTCACTTGTCCCCTTTGCTAGGGACCATGGCTACATATATCTGCCAGGAATTCCTACCAGCTTCTGTCCTGAAGCATCCTGGTACATCCCACCCTTGTCTTTGCCCTCTCAGCCCATCCAGCTTGGACAGCATGTTCTTTTTGTCTGTATGACCTCTAGGAGAATGTTCTTTGGTCACCTCAGGTCTGTCATTCACTTGGAAACATCTTATGTGGTTGTTTCAGTCTCTCCAGTCCAAGAAGCATATGGATCCTTCCTCCCTGCTCCCTGCAATGTCTTCATACCAGTCTCATCCATCATTCTTCCAAGATTGTGACAGCTACAGTATAATCTACTGTTCTCCACTCTCCCTGATTGCATCCATGATGAGTATGATGCACATCTTGGCTCCTTGTTGCAAGATATGGCAGAAGACACTCCCCCTTCATCCTCTCTTCCAACAGAGCCCCATTCATGAAATTTTTATTTGCTTCACTGAGAGGATGGTTTGGGGGGGAAAGTTGCAATCCCCTATGCTCCTGTCACCCCCACAGACCCCCAAAGCTTGACCCCTGTTGACATCTGACTCACCCTGTCCACTTTTGGATGTATGTACTATATTGGCATCAGATCAGCACTGCCTCTCTGTCATCCCACCTTGGCCTAGAAGTGATCTCTTCAAGATGTGACATGCACAGCCTCCCCCTAATGCAATTCCAGTGTGCTTTCCCAGTTCCTGACATCACTTGACTCATACTTTGATGTTCTGACTGTCTTTGACTCACCTGTTGCCAATACTTACCAATCTTGTGACTTTGCTTATTGATTCTTCACTTTTTGGCTTGCTAATCCTTACCAATGCTTACCAATGCTTTCCAAGACGATTATCCATTGTTTACATTCCTTACTCATCAGTTACCAATCACTTACCAAGTGTTTGCACCTTGTTTTCCAAGGGCAACACCCCTGTACTGTATATAAATCACTGTACTTAGATAGCAAAAAAGAAGACATCAGAGAGAGCCCCTCTTGCTTGCATTTTATCATCACTCAGTAATTCATTCAGCAGCTTCAATAGTTGAGACTTTATTAAGGGTCTAACTATCATCTACTTTGCTTATCCTTGTCTATCATCAATATACTTCACTCCAAGCCCTCCCTGAGCTCAGTGCAGCTTAGGACATCAAATTAAGTCATCATCCATCCTTCTGTAGGCTGACAGCAGTCTACCCTATCGCATTCTCTCTCGCATTCCTGCTCCTTCTTCATCAGGAGCACCCCCAACCCTCAGCACTCATCTTTGAGTGTTGTAGCTTGCAAAAAACCCTCCCAAAGAACAGGTTCTACCATCTAGATACTGCATAGGCACACCACCACTCACTCTTTTTCTCTTTTGTGTTGGTTTTGGTTGGTTTTCACCACTGAACCACACTTTGACTCATAGCAGAGCACCCTGTCCCCATGCGATCACACAAGCCCAGAAAGCAGCAGGTGAACCTCTGCCTATGGATGATCAAGAATGGGAAGATGTGGAAGATATCAAAGAAAACCCAAAGCACCTCCATCCTCCAGCAGGGTCAAGATATCTCACCATTGTGGATGTCACAGGTGTTCATTTCATTGTAGTGAATTGGTGTGAATGTGAGACTGCAGAAACCCAATACATACAGTTACTCAGAGCCAAACTATTTCCCTCAATGTTTGAGAAGCCAAGCACTGCATTCACATTCACAGTTCTGGATGACTTCCTGAGGGACAACCTGGAATGTGGAATGTCCAGTATGAACTATTACAGCAAGTTGCATCGGATCACATCCAGTGTGTTTCCACACCTCATTCCAGTAAGATTTGGTAGTTTGGTTCCAAGTGTTGGAATGTCTGAAGGGTCAATCAGGATAGATACCATGAGCTTCTACAGGTTGCACAGAAATGGCAATACCTCAAGCTACTTAAATGGAATGGATTCTGTGGGACAACCAGGTCAGCAGAGAAAGGTGGACTGGCATTATTTTGCACAGCATGCCCCCAGCCTGGAATAAATGTTGATACTAATGAGGATTTGGACCAGTAAGCAGCTCCAATAATGCAATCCTCATATGCTGACCTTCTCCAGCTGGCAGTTCACCCGCACAGTAGTAATGGATAGACACTTTAAAGTGGAACACATGCATGAGTGGAAATCCGAAGATCAAGTGCGGTTGATGGACAGACTAGGTTATATGGTGACCAATCCACACTACATGGACTATGTGAAGGCCACTCCACATATTGTGGAGGTATGAATTCATTCAACCCATGCAAAACATGATCTGAGCTCAGGCACAGAAATCCACCTGCAACAACCACAGAGCTATCAGTCAGGCAAATGCAGCCTGGGGAAAGCTTCATGTGACCAGAATGGTATGAGGTTGAATTGTCAATTTTGACACCTGCTGATGGTGCTGCAGACAGTTGAACATGGACTACTCTTTGGCAAATGCATTGGGATACAATATGGAAGGGATCAAACAAGTGGTTTGCTTCTACAACATTAACTGCTCCTACATGATGAATCTGCAGAAGCATGTGGGTTGAAGTGAGATGATTGATATCCCATTGTCACTTTGGATTATCCCTGGAATTGGCATATGGCATGTGCATGGGCACAAGAAGGAATGTTATGCATGGTATGCCCCACTGTTCATCAAGGGGGCCAGATGGGTAGATGGAGAAATCATTGAAATGTTGTGGTCCATCCTTAATGTGGCATCCACATCTGCACATGGGATGACCTCACCACACCACCAAGAACTGCTGGATTTCCAGATGAATGATTCCAACTTCATGAAGATGATTCAGATTGGTTAGTCTGAGGATCCACTTGCAGCACACTCTCTGACATCCAAGATTAAGTGGATAGCCTATTGCAGAAGCTCAAAGTGGCTCAAGCAGCAGTGCCATTGGTGAGGCAGGCATATATAAAGCTAGATGAAGCCTTGACTGCAGAGCAGTGAAACAGCTGGCAAACACAAGAGATTCATGCACTGCATGATTGCATTGATGACCCATCTGTCATGGACATCTTTGAAGTTCAATTAAGGGTGAGTATGGCATCCACCTTTTTGGATAAATGCAAAATACTGACATATCATGAGAAGCACCAACAGTGCATGCCATCAAACTAGCATTATTGGAGGAACCAAGACCCAGCAGAAGCCTACATGGAGCAGCTAGTTGGCTAGCACATGGTTTATGCTTAGAAGAGGCCATAACCTCACTTCACATGGACAGAAAGGACATCAGGGAATGGGCATCAGAATTGAAAAAATTGGATATGGCATGCCATGCTGATCGCATTGCATCTGAACAATCAGATTTTATCACAGATGCTGTGATTTACTTGAAGCTGCACCTTGAAGCAGGCTCCAACACTTCCACCAGTGAATCTGCACAGCAGACCATGTTTCTTGATGCAAATTCAGAGCAGGATTATGCTTCAGATGATGGTTGGCTGAACAATGTGGGGGATGAGTTGCCTGCTTCAGATGGAACCCTGGCAGGACTGCAGGACAAATTGCCACTTCCATCTGCTCTTGGCATTGATGCATGTCAAACTTGAGGGCTTCAAAATCTTGCAGAAATGGAGCTGAAGCTTCGCACAGGTCAAGCTAATGATGCACTACATGGCCTCCATCTTACATTGGCAGACAAGGTGGCTGTCTTTTGGGGGGTGGTGTGCACAGCTAAGAGCTATTCTGTGAAAACATGGGCCTGGGATATGATCCATGCTATCAATGTCTCAGTAAAACAACAGGCCATGATTTATAATTGATGCAGAGCTGCCATGGTTGTACTTGGTGCAGGTGCAGATATCTTAGGACATTATCAAGAGCTTCATAAAGAAGACCTGGCTGTGCAGACAGCAGCCTTCTCCCAACATGCACAGGAGCACTGCAGAACCCATCTTCCATGGTTTTGGTCAACTGATGTCCCACAGGACACAGAATCAAAGAGTTGGATGTCTGAATGTATGTTGACATTACTGTTCAACAGTGCTTTAAGGTTGATGAACTTTCTTCAATTAGTTTATCACATTCATTGGGGCACAGACAGGTGATGGTGTGCTGGGAGTTGCAGTGGTTGTGAGTTGGATGGGTGCTGCTGTTGTCGATGGGTGGGTGTCTGCTGTGAATACAAGGG